AGCCTCTCGGGTATGCGCGGTATCCACGTACGGGCCCGTGAAAGTTTTTTTTCGATTAAGTTGCTAACTCAGGAGCCAGGAAAGCTAGAAGCTGAAATTTTAAGGCGGGTTTCCTGACAGTTTTGGCGGTCAGTCTTAATTTGTTTAGCTAGAAGCATTTGCTGGAAAAACGGTGCGGATAGCGACAAAAACTGCGTGGAACTACGCAAAAAACGCATCTTCGCACGGACATTCCGTGTCCTAACCAATTATTATGGTTGGGAATGCGGGCTAGCAATTTGAATCCTTTTCTAGTAAATGTAGCACTTTGTTATCAGTTTTATCTTCATGGTAGCTGCTCACTTTTCAGCAGCATCTTGGATGCTTTGAATGCACGAGCAAATGCAGCAGCATTAGCAAACGGAAACGGTCATTTATTGCAAAATCCAATCACAGCGATTTTCAGTCAGCAACAAGATAGCAGCGACTCCAGCAACGCTCCTGGCTCAGTTGTCACTTCAGAGAACGGTCCTAACAATACGCTGATCAATAATAGTTAGTTTCTCTATCTGATTCTTATCAAAAATAGTCCCTTTCATTACAGCAGTGTAATAACTACATTATCCAGATTTGTTACGCTAAGTTTTTATTTAGTAAAAAATACTTGAAATAAGTGGCTCATTCTGGTATAAGCGGTGTTAAAGATGCATTTGGGTAGGGATTTATTGACAAGTACTGACTGACAACCGGAGGGGATTCTAGAATTCAGTCAAGATCTCCCAATAAGACCCAATTAGATGGTATTGATAATTTATGTGCTGCTGAGGTATTGTGGGATATGGAGGTATTGTGGAGACAAGCTAACTGGAGGAAGGGGGAAGCGAAACTAATCGAAAAAAAAGACGGTCGAGCCGAATAATGACCGAAAATCCTAGTGAATCCGTTGGACCAGCAGACCCAAACAGAAGAGACGAGTGCAGATCGAAGGATGAGACCAAGAGCGAAATACATATCCCGTAAGCAGAGAGCCCCGTTTTACACACCAGTTTTTGTCGACTCCCTAGGCGGAAGAGGAGTTTCCATCTCTGCGCCGGTACGGACCGCTGACTGGTACTAAGACAGTGACGTTACGGTATTGAAAGCAGAATGACTATTAATCAAATTCTATGAGACATTAATAAAAATAAAACTATCACGACGTGAAATGACAAATGGGAATCGATAAAGGAAGAAAATAAGACGGCAGAAACGGAAACAATGCGAAAAAGACTAACATGGGCAAAATACAGAGGTGATAAATTGTTATTATAGGGACAAATTTTTCAGCTCCTTTATAATTACTGAGTTCGGGAAAAAATGGCAATTGGCACTGCTATAAGCTTAGATCAGTTGCTCAGTTCTGCAGTAGGATAACATTCATTCTGTGATTTCCTACCTCAGTGACAAATTATGACTATCACACTGACAAACTATGACTATCACACAAACAGCCATTAATATTTCCGGTCTATGCCTCTTACAGGGAGTGAAATATTCACGAACTTTAACTTTGATTTTGCAACTCGTAACAGTTTCTTGGCTTAAGTCATATTTAGTATTCGCACAATTTTTTGTAAAACTACACGATTTCGGAGTATTTAGATGGACTACTGGCAGACATGCTAACAGCAAATCTGATAATGGCAGCAAGCAGTAGTGGAACAAGCGGTGTCACAACAGCAACGGCAACGGCTGTAACCGGAGCAGGAGCAGCGGTCAGCCGCAAATGGAGCCGTGAAGATCGGAAGCAGAAAGAAATGGAAACAAAAATGGCACTCATGCTTTCTGCCACTCAGTTACCCATGAATATCATTGAAAATTCATTCTTCCGTGAATTCATGGAGTATGTGCAACCACGTTTCACCATGCCTCAAGACGTAAATCATGTTGAGGAGGTTAGTTCATTTTTTAGTTTTTTAATGCGTTTTTGCAACTATACAAATGCAAAAACGCATATTGTTACGACCAGTGGTGTGCGTGTATGTATATGTTTGTATGTGTATGTGTATGTATGTGCGTTTGTCCGAGTATTTCAACTCGGCAACCGTAGGCGTTAAAATTTTGCCTGTGCGCCGGGTATCAATTCAGGACCGAGGCACCAATCTTCACATGCGTTTGAGCTCCACTTACTAGCACATAAAAGTTTTGGGGACAAGTTATCAACTCGGTAACCAGAGAAGCTGAACGGCTGAAATTTTGAAGGGATGTTTTCTGTCCAAGTACAGTGCAAAGATTTTAAATTCAGCATCCACTTACGCATGGTTCTTACGTATAGGCATTTAAAAGTTTTAACGGGAAAATTGCTTACTGAAAAGCTAAGTCATTTTCAAGAACGGCCTTCAAAC